TTGGGAACCCCAAGGACGATAAGTCCTCAAGTAGAGTAAGAAAAAAAATCTATTTCCCAAGAGGCAGTAGTGATTTGAAATATTTGTTGGAGCCTAAGGGATGTATGAAATCTACATGGCTATTTACATAAATTTCTTATAATTTCTATCACAAATATACCCTTGCTGTTCTCCCAAATCTTTATTTAATAATGATCATAATAAAATTAAGTTTATCTCCGCTGCCTTGCCTTGGTGCCAAGAAGTCAAAGTCAGCAAACCAGTTTTTTTCAAGATTCTTTTTCAGTAAAAGTTCCAGAATAGAAAGAACACACGACCATGGGGTGGTTATATTCCTGTGATCTTAAAGAGTCAATTCCCACATGGTAACATTATTTGAAAGTAGATAATTATCAGCAGCCTGAGGCCATTTTTTCCACTAGGACAAATCTTGTCTTCTAGGACCCCTCATTTGCTGGCTTTAAAAGTCCTGCAGAAGGAAGGACACATTTTAGAACATGGTCTTCGTTGGTAGTTAATTTCCAAAGAGAAGGCCCCTGTAGCTCCCAAATACCATAGTTTAAATTCAAAAGCTGGAAGAGATTATAAGGTGGGTGTACTTTGGGGACTGCTTAATCGGCAGGTTCATGCTTATTGGTGGTGTGAGGGGGACTCCGGGCAAAAACATAAAATAAGAGAATTCAATGTCCTGTGTTGAATGTCCCTACCAATGGAAGGGGATGATGGAATACAATGTCTCCTTTTATTAGCTGAAAATTTTGGTGTATTTCTGTGATGAATGTGGGCTTCTGTTTTTCTGCCATAGACGCCTGGGTAGAACATGATCCAATTAACTTAAGAAAACAAAAACAAAACTGAAAACAACAACAAACTATATTCCTAAAATTTACTTCTAAGTTTCCCACCCTGCCTTCTCTAATGAAACCAGATCTCCAAATCCTGTTGATTTTTCTAGAGAAAGAAAAAAAAGGAAGGAAGAGGGAAGGAGAGAAAGAAAGAGAGATAAAAGAAGGGAAGAAAGAATGGAAGAATGATATAGACTCTGATGAATATTCATCAAATTCTTACCATCCACCCAAGTTTGAACTAGTACATTTAAATGCAGCCATTTTCCACTTACAAAATTTCTACTGAATCTGACCCTTCCTGCTTGCGTTCAGATCTTGCTGTGCACCAATCAGCATTCGCAATAACTTTAATATGGCCATTTCACCATGCTTATGCTTTGCGAAACTATCAATGAATAAAATTTACATGACTCCATAGAGAGTTTATGTAAATATCATATGAACAATATAAGATATGAATACTATGGATAGATAAGAAGCATGTAGACAGAAAAATTGGTAGTTATTTCTCAACATTCTTAGATATAAACTTAGATCACAAATAGGTCATCTAACAACCTCAAATACAGAGCTAATCTGATTCTTAGTCTGTATTTTCCCTCTCACAATTATACTAACTGTACACTTGAAGGCCTGTCAGATGTATAGCTTGACATGATCCCTGGCGGCCTTCTGAATGCTTTAAAAAATGATCTTTCCTGAACATAGACAGATCTTGCTTATTCTATGTTATTGCTCTCTTTCATTGTCAAGGTGTCTCTCTTGCATATCCTCATGTCCCTTTTCCTTTCTTGCATGTGTGGTGTGCACATGTGCCATTCGTTGTACATGTGCCATTGCAAGCATCCACACATGCACATATGAAAACAGAGGCCTACATCTAGTGTCTCCTTCAGTCTATCTCTACCTTATTTTATTTTATTTTTTTGAGGCAGTCTCTTACTATATCTTGAGCTTGTGGATTTGCTTAGGCAGACTGGCCAGTGAATTCCAAAGCTATTGGCCTCCTCCGCATAGAGGCTACAGGTCACTGCCACCATGGCAAGTTTTTGACACTGGTAGTAGAGGTCCAAAATCCAAACTCAAGTCCTCGTGCTCACACACACATTTTATCTACTGAGCCATCCCTACAGCTCACATTTGCACTATTATTAGTTCCACTAGCGAGATATGAATGTGTAACTTTTAGAATAAAATGAAAGTGCTGGAGTCTTGTTGAGAATGTTATGACTTTCAAGAGGTTGGTAGCAAGGAAGACAGCCAGATATTTTGAACGTGCCTGGCAGCAGAGAGGGCATGCCTATGGTGATGGTTCTGGAGTAAAAGAAAGTTGTGTTTTTATTTAGATTAGCATGGGGTTAGAACTGAAATAGTCTGGTACTCAGGCTGGCTCCAGGCAACAGTGAGTACAAAACCCAAGTCCCAGCCTTCAGATTTGCCACTTTCTCCATGTTTATCTGTCATGGCTCCTTTTAAGACTTCCAACGTTTATTTCTACTATGCCAAATGGCTGTGTTAGTGACATACATCACAGACATGTTGAACATGCCCATTTTTCTATAAATTAATTCTTGTAGGTGTTTATTTGGGGTGGAATGATTTCACCGTAGTTTGTTTTTTCACTGTTTTTCTATTTATTTTGCTCAGACGTTTGGGCATTTTATATATCAGGTCATCTTGACTAACATTTTTTCATTTTCCTTTTTCCCATACAAATCTCCTGCCTGCCATCAGGCCACTCCTTAAGGCCCATCTAGTAGGCTAAGACACACACCGGTAAATCACAGTATCCACACCCTCTGAGTGCCATGGAAGTGTGATGCTCCTTCCATACTGATGTGACCTCAGAGTGTCTGTCAGAGGACACATTTCTGTGCTCAACTCTGAGGCTCACTATCTTTGTGCTTTGCACCTTTGGGTCTATTATGGCAAATAAAGCTTCAGAAAGTTGAGGGGAAGCAGAGCAATGAGAGGCTGTGTGTCATCATCATCACTGGACTTCAAGGAAGGCATACCACTTGACCCACACGTAGCACATTGCTAAGATCTAGTCTCCAGTCCCTGCTGGGATGCAAGGAATGTGGATATGGTATTAAAGATTTGTTTTCCCCAAAGCAAGGCTGCTTCTTCTGCCTTGGAACGTGGTCCTGGGTTCCATGAAATCTCTCACACTCTTTGCCACTGAATACTTTGGAAAAGTTTTGATCTTTGGCAACCTCTGACAAGAACTCTAAGTGACTCCCTGGTGGATTGAACTCTTGTCTCACTCTGCTCAATGTTCTTATCAGTGAGTGCTAGGTCTCAATGTTATCCCTGATCGAGTCACTAAAGCCAGGATGATGAGACTCAAGAGTTAGCTTAAACAATGATTGGCTGTCTCTGAAATTGAGACCAAGGTCAATTTTGCCCAAAGTAGACGAGGCAAAATTTCAAGGCAAAGTTCACAGAGGTATCTTTTCTCAAAACCTGCTGGCGTGAGGCATGTAACTCTGAACCTGTCATCCCTATCATGTGACTCAGTGTACCCTGCATCATTGTTACCTTTGTTCTCCTCTCTTCTGTTAAGCTGGTGGCTTTCTCTGCTTAGGAACATTGATCCTACTCTTATGAGTGTCCTGTAACAGGTGGCTAGCTCCAGGAATTTTCCTATGGTAAGAACTGAGTGAAGGACTTATCCTATTGGATTCGAGGCTTTAGGACTGATCTAAGCAGGAGTCTGGCCTCTGGTGTAACTGTGATTCATTAGATATATCTGTGTCATAAGTATTTCTTCCTTGTTTTCCCTTCCGGGTTTATCCCAACTACCTCTAAGCATGCCTTTGCCACGAAAGGTGACCAATGAACAAGAGCTTCCTGCTGGAGCAGGTGGACTGAGCTAATATAGGAGCCTCCACTAGGTAGCTCACAAAGAAGACCTCATTGGTACCATGACAGCAACCAAAAAATATTTGAGTCCAGCCAGAAACTATTCTATTTGAGTTCAGAAGACTTGGACACAGCTGTTTGGGATTTTGTCAGTATTTTACCTACCCCAGTTGCTACTGCAAATAGTTTGCAATTCATGTGAGGATTCTTTATATATGCCCTGAAGTATACATAGCATTTAATTGGAAAACCATCAAATAAAGACTTCTGGGCTCTGTGAGGGACCACCGTGGTGCCCTCTTTAAGCATCTGGCCTCTGTGGCTTTGCATGTTGATGCACAGATACATTTTTAGGCAAGCAACCTCCACTGACTGACCTGGACAGTTCTGGCTCTAATGTATTTAGGAAACAGAGTAGTCTCAAAAATTAGATATCCAATAATTCTGGGGCAACTAGGGTTGAAGGGCTGGGTGGCAAGAAAGCTTCTCTTTTCTTTCTTTTTGTGTATGTGTGTGCATTTTGGTGAGTTCATGCATGTGTGCTTGTGACTCTTGCTCTGTGTGTGCATGTGTGTGTGTGTGTGTGTGTGTGTGTGTGTCTGTGTGTCTGTGTGTGTGTAAAGGCCAGAGATAATCTCCTCAGTTGATGCTACTCAGGTACTGGTACCTTCTTTATGGAACTGGGTCTGTCACTGGTCTGGAACCCTCCACAGAGGTCAAGACACCTGGCCAGCAAACCCCAGGGATCTGTGTATCTCTGCCTCCTCAGAGCTGGGATAACTGGGACTCACCATCACACCCACCTTTCTTTTTTTTTTAACTTATCTTCTTGGAATGAAACTCTTGCTCAAAAGACAAACACTTTCCCATCTGAATAATTTCCTAGTCCAAGTTCCCTTCCTTTTAAAAAATGTTTTTTAAATTTCATATATCAGTAATGTATTTTCATTATATCCATTCTTCCTTCCCTCTCTGACTTCCTCCCAGATCACCCTAACACTGCCTTCAAATTTTACTTTTCCTTCCTCTCTCTCTCTCTCTCTCTCTCTCTCTCTCTCTCTCTCTCTCTCTCTCTCTCTCTCTCTCTCTCTCTCTCTCTCTCTCTCTGTCTCTCTCTCTCTCTCTCTCTCTCTCTCACACACACACACTATTGAGTATTATTAATGCTGCTTTTATCAACTTCAGTGTTTGGCTATCATAGGCATGGGTCCAAGTTTCTTTTCTTGTTGAAAAAAATTATTAGAGAAAGGAGAGGAGGAAGAAATAAAGGGAAGAGAGGGCTAAAGAGAAAGAAATCAGGAGGGAGGGGAATTTCTGTTCTTTTCAAAATCTATTTACGTGTATCAAGTCTGATGACAGGAGGGGGTGTCTCAAAAAGTGGAATACTTTAACTCCTATGCTGTCCCGAGTTGGAAGCTTGCAATACCGATCACCACCACACTAGGTAAAGTTGTCTTTAAGTTCCAAGAAGAAACATTTCTCTCCAGAAAGAAAGTATGTATCCTCTGAGACTTGGTTGAAGACCTCAGGACACCCTTTGTCAAACTCTTGGGACACTTTTGCCAATCAGGCCACAGAGGAAAATCGTAGACAGTGGTGTTACCTGCACACAGGATGGAAAAGAAGATTATTCACCACATGGCCCCACTCCATACAGGCTTTGCTTTGAGTTGTTTCTTATGAACAAAACCTGTCTGTATCACAGTAAAAGGGGGAGGAGACTGGAAAAAACTAGCAAAAGGGAATTTTTTTAGAGCGAGAGAGCCAGGCTGGCACCAAAAACATAATTTAGTGTGCAGGTATTTGATTTGATAGAAAACCTGCATTGATTTAAAAAAAATAGGTTCTTGACAAGGTTGTAATTCATTGAGAGGGGCCAAGCCTGAAGCTTAAGCTTGACATCCCCCTCCAACCTAAACCATAACTGGTTTTAGGTGATCCCCAGTGAGGGTAGCATGTTGCAGCTGGCAAAAAAATAAACAGTCCAGAGCCCTGTGTTAACCCCTCTCTCTCTTTCTCTCTCCCTCCCTGCCACCCCCCACCCACCCCATTTCTGATTTATGCCAGGAGCTAAGGAAAACAGTTACATATTTGTGAGCACAGTTTTGTTTGGGTTTTGTAAGCTCGCAGGATCCAGGTCCTGCTGAGAGAGGGAACCAAACCTGAGAGAGGAGGGAGCAGGCACAGAACCAGCAGCAAGCACCAGGCAGTATGAGCTGGGGAAGCCTGAGGAGGAAGAGAAGACACGGGGCTAGGAGCTGGAAGTGTGGGCTCCCCAGGCATCGTTCACACAACCTCCTGCTCTCTCCTCTCCACCTCTATGCCATCTTTCAGGCTGACTTAGTTTCCCCAAGGGGCATCATTCTTTCTTAACAGCTCACTAGACTGACTTTTCATCAATGAATGTCAATTAAGAGATGAGAGCATTAAGGGAGACAGTGGTGTGCCCTTTTTTTTGTTTTTTGTTTTGCTGGATGAGATCAATAGCTTCTAGCCTATCCTAGCCTCATATTTCTTGAAAAAAATAATATTATAAAGATCTTCCCCAAAGAGCACGTAGTCCAACTGGTTTCTTTCTTAGCTGACTGCAGCCATGGTTTACCACCCATGCACTTGCCAGAACCTCTAAATTACTTACATTATGACATCACCCTTCCTTGTGCACGCTCTTGTCACGTTGCATAAATACGCCCTTGCCCATTTGCTTCTTTAATCTTTTCTGTCCACAGCGTCTATCACAGGATGACTCCAGGAGACAGATGATTCCACAATCATGAACAAAATCATTTGAATTGCCTCTGGTCTCCATGACAACATGAAAATATAAATGTCTGCAGCATTAAAGAGGGTGAAAGAAAACAACACCATCCCAGTGGCATAAAATAACTGAGGCTAAGTCAGTACTTAGATCAGGTTTTTATGTCTTCTTACCACTGGGTTACCACACGTACACGATGCCTTTTAAAATACACACAGAGAAAGAAGTGGCATATTTTCTTCCTCAGTCCCATTTGTCTCCTTTTCAGATACAACCACTGATTCACCAGTCTCTGGACAGGCAATGGTACAGCAGCAGCAGCAGCAGCAGCAGCAGCAGCAGGGAAGCCTGTGAACTCGAGTATAATAAAATTCTAGTATAACAGTGTGTTGAATGTTTACTTTGGCTAGGCTGCCCTCCCAAATCCCCCTTTCAACTAATATTTTAAAATGTGGAAAGACATTAAAATGGAGATAAATTCAAGGCTCTTTCTGAAGGCGAGCACCTCTTACACTGGGAATTCTGGGCTCTATCTACTCTGTTTCTTTCAAATCTCTTCATTTTTATATTTATTGTGGACAGGGAGTTCAACTCATTGGCTGGCTTTTTTTTTCTCTGAAGTAAGAAAGAAAGGGGGAGGGTCAGGTATCCTGTTCTCACCACTTTTGTCTCGCTGCAGACGTTGAGACTTGGTATTGTGGAAAATGAATAAAGTGACATTTGTCAGAGGTGCCTCATAGAGTCACCAAATTAAAACCTGAACTTCTGAAACCAAGCTGTGTTAGAGATGCTAGCCTGACGAGTGAGGTGCAGATGCTCTGTGTTGCTGTGGTTAGTCTCTGTTTCTATGAAAAACAGATCACAAGCGAAGGAAAGAAAGGGGGACATCAGGGGAAATGGGGTTTCTTGTTATTAGAAGGGTAGACTCTTAGAGGAAGAAAGGCTGACATCATAAGGTCATGAGGGTAACTGAAGAGGGGGATTATGATGGCAAGTGAAAGCAGAAATCGAGGGAAATGAGTTGTTAGTGGCAAGTGGAAGATTGCGTGGACTTAGGCGTCAGGCCATTTAACGTTTCATTATACGATTCCTAAGTGGCCAGTAAGTAGGAGCAGTGGTTATTATTATTGTCATTGTTGTTGTTGTGTGCAGTATATATATATATGCGTTTCTGTGGAAGTTCATGAAGGTGTACTTGCATACTTGTTGGGAAGAAGACAGCGTCTTGTGTCTTCTCATTCACTTCCTATTTTTCTTTTTTGAAACAAACTCTCTCATTGAGTCTAGGTCTTATCAATTCAGCTATATGGAAATGGAACCTATAATGCATTTGGTACCTAGAACAATGTGTATTGATTGTTTACTGTGTGTGTGAGTTTTGGAAAATAAACTACATTAGAGGGCCAAATAAAATGATCTGGAGACAGATTCCTACTTTGCCACTTGCCTAACTTTGAGAAAATTCTCTTGATTAACATTTAGTAGATGTATTCACTGGTTGCTCAATGGTGAGGAAACACAATTTTCAGTCTAATTGAGTTTGCGATGTGGTTGCTTGGGTTGGAGAAAGAATAGTCAACTCTTGGATACACAACTGGTAACCGTGTGAGAGTTATGTCCAGGGAAAGATGTACTATGTCCACACAGCAAATATGGTGGAAGGGACAGTGTGTGCAGTAACTTCCTCTCAATCCATTTGCTCACTTCTTGTCATTTCAATCTCCTGAAGCATAGACAGCTGTAAAAACTTTTGAGTGAAAAACACCAGAACAAAATCATATATAAGTTTTTTAAACCTTGTACTTATCTGAGTACTATAGCTAAAGTCTCACACCACACATTTTGCTCTACTCTTCCCCAGACAGGAATCATACATTTGCATGGTATATACACATTGTTTATGCTACATGCCCATCAGTCTTTTGATAACTGTCTCACTTACTAAATCAAATCTCAACAGCTACTGCTTGGCATGATGGTCTCAAAGCGCAAGAGTCACGTTGCTTGACATCTGGATGTGTCAAAAAGAGAGCTGCAGTACTGACCTTAAATGAAACAAAGGTCGAAGCCCTGAACTTGAAAGGGGATGAGAATCAGCATGTTCCTCAACAAACAGGCCACTGAACAGAAGTGGTTTTGCTGAGAGTGGAATCACATGATAGACATTTGGGTGCCTTTTGATTTCCGGCACTCATTGGTGATCTTGGAATCTATCTCTTTCAGATTCAGGAAGTTCGTGTAGCCTAACAAGTCAGTACTCCTACATGGAGTTGATCTATAAAACCAGGATACTAAAAGGTGTGAAGATGTCAGATATGCCTTTCGTACCTGAAGCAGAATCATGAACAGTGTGCAACAGACTTGGCAAACTATAAATAGAGCTATGTGCAAAATAGATAAAGTGAAACTATTGTCCAATTGAACAAGTTGAAAAATATGTTGGGTCAGTTAAGAAAAGTGTTAGAACATGATGTAATTTAAGAAATATGTCTGTGTGTTGTGCATGCACATATATGTGTGTGTAGGAGCACTTGCATGCAAGTGTGCACAAGGAAGTCAGGTTGAATTAGGGTGTCTGACGCTTTCACTCACTATCATGATTTTTGAGACAGAGTCTCTCACTGCACCCGAGTTCTCCCTTTTGGTTTGGTTGAGGACATGTGAGCCTCTAGGTTCTGCCTGTCTCCAGCTCCACTGTTGCTAAGGTTCCATATGCCACCACACTCAGCTTTTTCTATGGGTGCTATAGATCTAAACTCAAGTCTTTGTCCTAGAGTGACAGCATTTCATCCAGCGAGCCAGTCCCAGTAGGCAACATTTGCCAGTTCTTTGTGGAGTGAGGTAGATGCTAGCACAAACAGGCACCAATGGAATCTGCTCTGGCAAAGTAGGAAGTGTAGCCACACAGAGGGCTTTAGGTTATTTTTTAAACTTTTATGGGAAGTTCCTCATATGCTCAAAATGTCATACAGGTGGTTGTTCGTCTCAAAAAAATCAATATAATTCACACAACAACAGTGCTCCAAATGTCCAGAGTACAAAACTACTCATATGACTATGGAGAGCGTGGAAAACTCTCTTGTATACTGGTCCAATGGATGGCCACTCCACAATGAAAAGGGATAAGCTGTGAATAATGACATAAGTGTCAGGGTTTCTCAAAATGAGAATATTTGGGTAGAGGAAGCATGTCGTTAAAAAATGTGAATGCATGATTTCATGTGTAAATGGTAAAAAAAATAGTGAGAAATCAGATAGTATTGGCTGCTTTTAGGGATGGGAATAGCTAGGGTCCTGTCTTTCTAATTTTCAATCTGGATTTAGAATTATATGGGTGTGCTTGTAAACTTTGAAATGAAAGTGATATGTGATACAGTTGAACACACAATCACGCATGTGTGCACACACACGTGCACGCGCACACGTGCACACACACTGTGCATGTGTGCTTCCTACTACACAGAATATAAGATAAAGAAGGCTTAGAGCAGAAGTTGTTCTAATTTCTACCTCCTTCTTATGACTTCTTCTAGAGACAGATACTAGACGCACTGCAAATGTTCTCTGCTCTGGCATGATGTCTCAGCTATGGTACTACTGGCATTTGTAGCTGGAGAATGATCTGTTATTGCTTTGGTTGATGTGTGAGGAGGGGGCAAGGGTTTCTGTTATTAACATGCTGTCAACCACTAGAGGTCAGTAGCAGCACCCACCCCTGGTCCTAATCAAATTTATCTCCAGATCCTTGGGACAATTGCCCCATTTGAGACTCACTGAAGTATGTGAGTAATAACTTAGGGCATTTATTGAAGACATACTGTGTGTGAACTTTCCCCTAAAAGCCTTAGACTGCCAACACATTTCCTCCTCAAGCATAACGCCTAAAGGTGCTTCATCTCCTTTGTTTTAGGATAGAGGAAATGGAAGTCTAAATATTTTAGCTATGTTTAACCAAGCACGTAGCAAACAGGCAACAGACGAGGGGTTTTGTCACATCAGTCTCTCTCTCTCTCTCTCTCTCTCTCTCTCTCTCTCTCTCTCTCTCTCTCTCTCTCTCTCTCTCTGAGTGTGTGTGTGGTATACGTGTGTGAATTCATAAGTGTGCATGGGGGCACACCACCTTGTACACGTGCTAGTCAGAGGACAACCTTGGATATCGCTCCTTGCCTTGTACCTTGTTTGAGAGAGGGTCTCCTCTTGCATGTGCCAGGCTGGCTGTCAATGAGTTTCTAGATTCCCACTTTGCTCTAAGATCACTGTGACTACAGAGGTGTCTGGCTTTTACATGGATTCTGAGGACTTAAAGTTAGGTCCCCATGCTTGTGTGTAAGCACTTTGCTCCATCAACTTCTTTTTTAAAATTAATCAGTTTTTCAAGACAGGGTTTCTGTGTGTAGCCCTGGCTGTCCTGGAACTCACTCTGTAGACCAGGCTGACCTCAAACTCACAGAGATCTTCCTGCCTCTGCCTCCTGAGTGCTGGGATTGACAGTATGGGCCACTACTGCCTCTTGTCTCTTTGCTGAGCACAGGGGATGAATAACTAAGAGTATCCAGGACATTATGATTGCCACGATCATCCATCTGCACATCCCTCCATTATTTCTAGTTACACCAAGTCAGGATTCATATTCTCTTACGTGTTATGAGAGTCAACCTTAATAACCAAGTAACAGTGTGACTCACAGGCTGCACCTTAATAAAACTTGAAGAGCTCACTGAGACCAATGTGATTATGGGACAAATTATTCCATTATTTAAGCAGAGGGGAAACATATTTTACAATTGCCTACAGTTATATATAAAACTAGCTCCTGGCCCTTTAATTACAGATAAAGGTGAAAGCTCCAAGAGTGGCTCATGAATAAGGAAGCACCATCCCCTTGAAAAGGCGCTTCTGCAGGCTCCAGTTTCAGGAGACTTCTGTCGTAGATATTTTTCCATGTTGCTGATTAAATAATATCTGAAGCAAAAGGGAATCAAATAGCAGAAAAAACAGTCCTTGTTAAATGAATGATGCAAACAGTACATCCATGACCATGAATTGATATTGTGCATTATACTCTAATATTTATTGGAAACACAACTTGTATGTGACTGCTGGTTGTATATTTTACTTGCCATGCCTCAGGTGTCCTCTCTGAAAAGCCTTAGATGACCGTGTGCATTCTCTAGCTAGGAACTGGATCCTGGTTGATCAACCAATCAGAACTGATTAGCTCTTGATCATCATCCCTGCATGCAGTTCAAGTCAACCAGTTAGAGCAAGTCTTGGCATACCCTGTTCTTTGAAATGTTAGGACAGACACATACCATTTTCTGTTTAACTAGAAT